AGCCTAGGCCGTGGATGGCTAGGCAAGATGTTTATTAATTTTTTGACATGCTTAGTATATTGATAAAATGTTAATCAGGTGAAAATTTCTAGGATGAGAATTAATCCCAATAGTCCGAAAAACAGACGGAATGTTGTCCGCGAAATGTAAAAAGAGTAGATATGGTTGCTATACGTAAGGAAAAAAGGAAAAAGTTAACCACGAGCTTCCGCATTTAATAAGTTAAAATGTGTTGCGCTTAATATCATATGAATGTTAATTAACCGGCTACAAACGGGGCGTTACAAATACAGAGGCACTCTTGATTGTGACATCACATGATGGATATGGATATGTGTTGCCAATTGCCTTTGTTGTTGTACCTCTAAGTGAGAAGTTGGAAGATTGGTCATGGTTTCTTATCAATCTATGTATTCATGTGACAGAATGGCAGGGTATATGTCTAATTTTTGATTGGCATCGAAGTATCATATCGGCGATCTAAAATGTCAATCTTTGTTGGAAACCTCCACATGCCTATCATAATTGATGTAATCAAGTATGTTAGTATAAGGTAATAGATTACATCACTGAATGGAGCCATTTAGATTTTTTTCCACGAGATTTTTTCATTCAAATGAGTTTTATAGTCATATACTCATACTTTGGGACCTCGGGAAGGACTTGGTAGTTTCATAATACCTATATGCATTACGATTCCATTAAATGTACCAAAGGCAAGTATTAGATTGGTTTTAACATACCAAAGTGTCATTTAGCTACAAGAATGGTGCAAACTTGAATCATTCCACATGTACTACTATATTTAGACTGGGGATGACAATTTGTGGGTCCTCATCTTATTTTAGGTTAAATTTGCCAATGTTAATTCTTAGTTCCAATTTATCAAATTCAAAACTTGCACCCATTAACAATAATATGTTAAAATTTAAAAAAGAAACACCAATGAATATTAATAAACATCCATTTAATTAATAAAAGTTCAGTACATAGAGGAAAAATATAAAATAAAGGAGAAATACATCAACATCCTAAAACAACACTACAAACATAAAAAAAAAATCCTACAGCTAAAACCTAATCTGAGCTGGTCTCCTCATCATCATCATCATCATCATCATCGCTAGCAGCAGAATCATCCATGGTCCCAAGAGCTTGTCTATGTCCAACCTCCAAGTGAACAATCCTATCCTCCAGACCCTTAAATCGAAACTCCATACGAGCCCACATCCGTGACAAGTCATGGATGCCGGTCATGACATCTTGAAGGGTGTATCCATGCTCAGGAGAAAGCATCTTTGAAGTGTCAACACCATCAGAACGATCAACATCATCATCCCCACCATCAGCCTCAGCCTCAGTCAATGTGGTTCCTCCTCAACCACTGAGACTTCAATCTCAAGTTGTGTCTTCCACTACCACACCCCCGCCTTTGTGATCCCGCACTACTCCAATAGATGCTTCCCGAACTTGGTGTTCCAGCCCTTGATCATCTTCATACACTCAGTCTCTATGGGAACAATAAAATACTTCAATATCCTTTGAACGAGGAAGGCATACAAAAATGAACACTTCCTTACAGTCGTCTGTATAATACAACATATCTAGTGCCTCCAGTTCACTCATATGTTGTGATGGATGGCCCACATAACAACAAAGTCACCCTCTAGCAACCTCCTAAATTTATGTAGTCGCTGGAACAGAATGTGGGTCATGATATAGAATAACATGCGGGCATGAAGATTAAGCAGTCCCACGCCATAAATAGCATAATGCCCATGCACAATATTATGTCTCCTAGTCTCCTCCACAATATCCCTCTCGAACATATCCATCAATGAAGGCATTGCGTTCCTCGTCATAAATGGCAGCAGGTTGAGCATCGAAGTTGTACCCTAACAACTCTGTCCATATAGAAGTAATCATCACTATGTCAAAGCAACAGACGCGGGATGTCAGCTTGCCTTGTGAATAGTGGAGATTATAGTAGAACGCCCTCACCATAACCTCTGAATAGGGGCACAACATCTCCACAAGGTCCCACATATGTGCCTGGTCCAATAGTCTCACTATGTCAAGTCCCTCTATCACGAAGAATGTTGAATCCAATGACTTCTGCTCACAAATGTCTCTGCTCATAAAATTAGACATAAATTTTGTATGCTCTGTGAGATCATCATCGAGCAAGTACCCATATGGAACGTTTGCAGGGTCAGCCTGAACCATCCTTGAAAAAGAAGATCGTCTTTCGGTCGCGTGTCTCTTTTAGGGTCGTCTATTAGCCATGGTAATAACACAAACATACAAAAACACATGAAAATTGATCAACAACACAAAAGAAAAACATGATAAAAAAAAAAGAACTCAAAAATCAATTCTAAAAATTGACCAAGAAAAATTACAAAACCTATACACCCACAAACCCTAAACCATATGCAACCATCAAAACCTAAACTAGACAACCATAAATCCAAAATTTCAAAGCAAAAAATCAAGCCAATCGAACCAAACTTGTTCATTTCGGTCTAGGGTTTGTAAACGCCAAAAATCAAAGGAAAAAATTAAGATAATCGAAAAATACATAACGATTACTTGAAGAAAGCAGAGAATGATACTGGGGATAGAACCCATCACACAATTTGAAGAACATTTCTAGCAAAAATCACAAATTTGAGAGTTAGGGTTTAAGGGGGTAGTCAATTACCTTGTTTCTTTTTAACCCCTTTTGGCTGAAATGAGGATTTTTAAAAAAACTAATTAACCTTTCCTTAGTTAATCGATTACATGGCTCATGTAATCATTAACTTGATCCCTCGAAATTTAATTGGTTACAGGTTTATGTAGTCGCCAGTCAACGGTCAAATAGGGACAGAGTGATGCATAATTTTGAGATGGGACAAAATTGTAAATTTTTATTAATTCAAGGGCAGAAGGGTCAATCACCTTGACAAAAAGTAACATAATCATAAATATCAACGGCATATATGCGCTTCAACTATTCCATCACAAATAATCTGATATACATGCAACCACGTAGTCAATAATTCGGCCACCTTCTTCCGTGATGCTCTACTAAATTATTAATCCAATAGATTCGGTTCCTTTGGGTGGAAACATAAGTGCTTTGCACCGACGAGAATTACTAGCATTTTATTTTATTGTTTGATTTTTTAATTGTTTTTTACTAGTAAGTGAAATTTCATGTTAACCTTGTTAACAGAGAATTTACTTAAAATTAGCGTAAATATTCACGTAAAAAATGTATACCCAACACATTACATGAGATTGTGGAATATATATATATACCCCCTTGGCTTTCAGTTTTGTACTAACAAAAAATAGAAAACACTTCCTCAGATTGTTATCACGTACTTCATTGATTTCTTGTGGAGTTGAGAAATGGCACCTCAGGCAGAACTTGCAAAGATTGGGTATGAAATAGAAAAGTTCTTTGGCCGACAGAAGAGTTTTGGCAATGGCAACCCTCCGGCCACTCAAAACCTATGTCAATACAAATTTTATCCAACCTACGTGGCTTCCAAGGTTGTCCACATGAACCTAGAAGATGTCAATGAAGCTGCTTCAAGATTCACAGCAGAAAACAGAACAGAGTTGAAGATCAAAGGTTAGGTTTGGGCAGTGATATATTAGTATTGTACTTCAGAAATCTTCACTAGTCGTTTTTTTTTTTTTTTTTTTGGTTATCTTTTATTTAAATCTTAGGTGCATGCTAACTCTTGAGTCTTTTAGCATATGGTGTCTAGTACTACCCTTTTTGTACCATATAAATACACGTATGTATGAAGCTCGATGACAAACATGAAGGTCTTCTGCAGCTTCAAGTGTTAGGCTCTTTTTCTAAGCTTTCTTCTACCCTTCAAGTTATGTACAAAGCTAATATATTGCTATCAATTAATTAAGCAGTTTTGCTCTCTTAATCTTTCTGCCTCTCTAGTGTGATTTATGTGTAGCAGAAAAAATTCTAACAATCAAGGACATGGGTTTCAAAAATGTTGTCTATAGGCCTTTGGCACTTACTCTCATGGGTTAGTAATGTGCTATGAATCTAATTTGAAGCTTGAAATATATAATAAGCCTGAGGGCACTTAAATTTTCAATGTTTATTTGTGGACATGGTAAAACCAAAATTCCGGTAAGTTTTACAAACTGGATTGAATTTTTGGGATGCTTATGTACTATCCGAGTCCCAACTATATACATATATAGCATCGTCAACATGTACACGCGCAGCAAGAAATTTCAGATGAATATTAAAGTTTTGAAGTAGATATACAATTTATTTCCTTTTTGAGTACTTAAATCTAAAACATTCGTTTTAGTTTTTTTAAGAACTAAATCTACGTACAAGAAAGAATAAGGAGATTCAAGTTTTATGAATTTGAAAGCAAACTCATACATATGACTAAATTCATCAAATAAATTAAAAGTTAAAAATAATTTCAAGAACTAAGTTAAATTTCACTCTAAAATTTCGAGATAGTGACGGGTAAAATATCCAAATATTCTTTGTTAGTTTGAGTGGCCACTGAAAGCATATTATAGGGATTGTGGTGAAAGCATATTTTTTCCACCAAAACTGTGAATGAAAGGATAAAAGTTGCAAATTTTTTATTTATTTTTTTCTAGGTGCTACTAGAATGTGGTAGCTAGAGAAAATATAGCCCACTTTGGAGGGGAAATAGGAAGGCCAAGAATTTAGGAAAGGAATGAACACGGAGCATCACAAATTTTAGATTAACAAATTTAAGTTGAAAATCTAAGATTCTCCGGTGATTTAGAGGCTCAAAAATAGAAATCAATGATAACCATTTGTTTTACCAGAAAGCATGGTATGAAATAAAGAACAACAGAAAGAGGGATCATTTTTCATTTTTCACCATTTTTTCTTCTAGCCTCCCCCGGAGGCCTCTAGCTGAAAATCAAAATAAAAATAAAAATAAAAATAAAAAAATACAGGTATTATAGGGAATTGAGACCCAATGGCCACTGCAAAGAGAGATGTTGTTCTAATTTTGTGCTCTATTCTGGTTTGTTGTGTGGATGCTGGACCAAGAGTAAGGCCAGTTGTTGGTCCTGATATCTACAAAGGTAAAAATGTAGCTAAGGATGTCCTTGCTCCTGGTGAGAAAGTAGTTAATGTCATGAGCTTTGGAGCCAAGCCTGATGGCAAGTTTGACTGCACTCAGGTTATTATATATATCTTTATGTTAATCATGGGGACTTTGCTTTTGTTTTAAATTTAGCTTTAGGGCCAAATGCTGCTCAGAATAAACACTAAGAAAATGTATAGATTGCCCCCTTTTTTTTCTCCCTTAACAAGTTTGAAGAAATGTGATACATACAAACATTGACAATTTTTTCTTCCGTATAAGTAAATATATGAAAATAGCCTTGATTAAATCTTTTGAAGATAATATGATCAGCCTTGTTTTTACAAGATGTTAATCACCTCATTGAGGTGGCTTCAGTGTCAAATTTCATCTTTGACCATAAATGGTGATTTATCAGATAAACACTTCACATTATGACTAATTCACAACTCCAAATTAAAATTTAATCACTGCACTTTATTAATAATGACAATATCAACATGTTTTCTTTATATAGATAGACCTTTCATTCCACCTTTTATGCAAGTGATGTTAAGAAACCACAAGGAGGATGAATCAAACCCAAAAAGACTTAAAACAAAACAAAATCCTTAAAAACAACCGTTTTGGTCATTTGACAGCATAACCAACACAGGCCTTAACGTTGGTTATAACTGCAGGCTTTCATGGATGCATGGAGAGCAACATGCAAGTCCAAAGTGCAAGCCAGGCTTCTGATCCCTCAGGGAAGATTCCTAGTTTCTGAAATGTTTTTTGCAGGGCCATGTTTGACTCCAGGGCCCATAACAATCCAAGTTGTAGGCACCGTAGTGGCTACAACAGATATAAGTGAGTATGTGGATGGAGAATGGCTCATGTTTGAGGACCTTTCTGGAATAAAACTTATAGGTGGAGGTACTTTTGATGGGAGTGGTAAGGCTTCATGGGCACAAACTGAGAACTGTGAAACAGACCCCACCAGCTCATGCGTTAGGGCCCCTAGCGTAAGTTCATATATATGTAGCTTATGATTTGAAATGCAACATTAACATGTTGATATAGTTTCAGCACTATGTGAGCTTTTATATGTGTTTTGGGAATGCAGAGCATATATTTCAACAAAGTCAACAATGGAATTATACAGAACATCAAATCCGTTAACCCCAAAGGCTTTCACATATTTGTCACTAACTGTGCAAACATCAGACTTCGGTTACTAAAGCTCAGTGCACCAGATAACAGCCCCAACACTGATGGAATTCACATTAGCCACTCCATCAATGTGAAAGTATCCAAAAGTAGTGTTGAGACTGGTGATGATTGTGTCTCCATGATACAAGGGGTCAACAATGTTACCATCAACAGATTAAATTGTGGTCCTGGACATGGTATTAGGTAATGCTTAAATTGCTGGTTAAATGATTCATGGAAGATAAAGTTTCACCTTCATCTCCATCAATTTATGTTTATGAATGTATTATTATAAATTTTAATTTTCTTTACTCTTATAAATGCATGACAGTATTGGAAGTCTTGGAAAGTATGAAGATGAGTTAGAGGTGAAAGACATTCGTGTCCAAAGCTGCAAATTGACTGGCACAACCAATGGCCTCAGAATCAAGACATGGCCAGATAAGTATCCAGGTTCAGCATCAGATATCAGCTTCAATGACATTACCATGGAAAATGTTAAAAATCCTATCATCATTGACCAAGAGTATCAATGCTCTCCTAATAACTGCAAAAAGAAGGTTTGTGTGTTTATATCTTTCTCTCTTTTTAATCACTTCCCTAAATTACATTCTTCTTCATCTCAATTAAAACCACTGACTAGAGAGAACAATGCACAACAATTGGAGTTTTCCATTAGGATAACCTTTTTTATTTTCTTTTACATAACAACCCTTACCTTTTTCCCTTTCAATTATGAAGTTCGAGCAATACTAATTTGGACCTTGATTTATTTCTATGCAGCCTTCACTTGTAAAGATAAAAAATGTTGGATTTTCAAATATAAGAGGAACCACAATTTCACCACTTGCAGTGGATTTAAGGTGTAGCAAGCAGTTCCCATGCCAAAATGTTCAACTTCATAACATAGACCTGAAGCTTGGAACCTTGCCTGCTGGCTCTAGATGTGTCAACATTAAACCTGTCTATGGTGGCTTGCAAAGACCAACAGCTTGCCTATAAGTGCCTGACTTGAAATTACATGCATTTTACTGCTCCAGCAATTAAGAGGAGGGAAGGGAAGGTTTTGGACTATTGGACCTAATGGGGAAAACATGTGCACTATATATTGAAGTTGGGGAAAAGGTTTTCAAGGATGGTTTTGAATCAAAATTAACCAGCCGAACTCAAACCTACTTCAACCCTTAATCACTTGCTGTCTGATTTCCATTCTCTCCCCTTGAACAATAATTAGACTTCTTAGCTAAATATTTGAATTAGTTGTGTTGTATAGAAAGCCAGAAATAAGTACTATGAATTTTTTTTTTTAGCCTTATTTACTTGCACTGTAAACAAAAATAAGGGTTTTTACCTTTAACCTTTCTACTAACCATTCCACCGCCGCCAAATCTTCTCAGACTGAATTCAAAGGGTCTGTGTTGTTTCAAAGAGTATGGTCAGGAATACGCGTATATAAACTGGCTTAGAGGAGTGCAACTTCAGAGTATGTCATTCTAGGTTACTGACTTTTTTAACCACAATATGCTAGAAGGTGAAGTCTTCATGATGTAATTTGCTACTAATTTTTACCAATTCTTAATATGAATCAGTTTTTTACTTCAATTCTCTCGTGTTATATAAAGTATGAAGAAATGAATGATTATGATCAACAAAGTTGGAACCTTTTCTTTTTTCATGAACATGCATAGTTAGATTAGATTAGAACGTTCATTACTTTTCTACAGCATCATGTATGTGTTTTACTTTATTTTTTTGGTAGACCCTACTAGGCTCACAGGACAGTATATTGTAAATTTTATTTGATCAAATATTGCAGTTCTATACTAGATGAACTTTTCTATCCAAATGCGTTAGAAATTATTTATAGCCACGTTACTTTAAAAACCAACCTATTTGTTATGCCATGCACTGAAGAAAAGATGTCTTTGTCTCATCTCCTCAAAGAGGCTGTCTTTCAAGAAAAATTGTAAATATCAAATGCAATAACAGCCATTTTTCTTGGGGTGAACAAATAACAGCCATCTTTAAGTGACAATAAAACCTACATATATAAGTGACTTACCTGTTTTTTTATTAACATTAGTGCCATACTTTATAATTTTAACTTACACGGGGAATGAAAAAACTTTCAGATCTTCTAATAGTAGACAGTATAAGTACAATCAAATAACTTTTAACATTCATTGTGGCTTTGTGCTCTAAGATTTGTTTTGTCACAAGTTCATCTTGCAGAATTTAATACAAAGAATCCCGAATGTTTAAAACTGGATAATTCAAAATACCCCGTTATTTTTCCTTCCTTCATGTCATAATTAATGTATGACTATGCCTCTTTCCTTGACCTCATATTCTTTTCAGGAAGTCTGGCAACAATGAAACTGTACACCATCACAATGTAGGAGCTGTTTCCATAACTTGCAAGTACTAAATGAAATTCATGACAGAGGAAATTAAGTTTACGAATGCGTTAAACAGTTAAAGTTTGAAAGAAAAGCTATACGTTTAACATACATTATAACAAGATTAAGTTCAGCATAATTCAAGAAACTTAAGATTATAAATACAGCAGATCAATAGGGGTTAGCCACATTGTGGTGTCAAAGTGCCAATAATCATAGGAGTTAACAAGACATTTTTTCAGAAACTCTGCCAAAAATGAAGAACATATTGGCATTAAGCTTAGGTGTAGCAATAGTTTATATAGTTAGTTCTGAAATTGGCATAGCATATGTCAGGGCTTCAAGAACTCTAGCTCCAGAACCACTAGCTGATTCTCCTGCCCCAGATTACATCTCTCCTTCTGGCTCAGCTGAATCACCTGCCCCATATTACAACCCTCCTTCTGACTCAGCTGAATCACCTGCAACAGATAACAGTCCTTCTCCTGGCTCAGATGAATATACTGAGCCAGATTCAACAACATGGGATTATTTTGATGTAACTCATTATGGATCAGTGGCTGATGGGAAGACAGACAGTAGCTATGTAAGTTATTGACTTGAATTGAAGAACTCAGTGATGGAGGACATTGTTGCAGGATTTGTAACTTCTTTTTTTGACAATTTATGTAGTTTAACAAAGCAAAACTAAACTAGTATAGCTGGAAGAAAGTAACCATCATGTTCTATGATATGGTATTACTAGTGAATTAATGACAGCTTGAAATTGGTTTTCAGTTTCTCTTATCCCAAGCTTTATCTATATATGTACGAATCATGTCCTTTTTTATGCTTTCATTTAGAAATTACTTACTGTGGTTAGGAAGTTGAAATAGTCCTCAGGCGAATGCAATCCATGTGACTATGTAAGAAATGTAATTAAGAAGCATGCTTTATTCAAATATTTAGAAGTTAGAAACCAAATCAACGAGAAAGTGTAAGGAGAAAAGAGGGAGGTGCTTGTTATCATGGCAACTGGAACCATCTCTCCTCTCTTCTGGTGTTGGAGAGCCACGTGAATTCTTCGCCTTTGTCGTCGACTTATGCTTTTGGTTGTAAATCTCAGAGTCAATGTGATTTTTTTTTTCACCCTAACAAGAAGAAATTTCTTTATTTTTTTTGGTTTTTTTTTTTCATATTATTTTTCTTGCATAGACTGGATTTTTTATGTTGGAAGGTTTAATGTTTTTTTTTTTTTTCTCTTAATAATAATAGTTTCGTTTTTTTTTTTTTTTTTTGAGTTGTGAATTATAAGTCATGGGTAGGGGGGAAATTATTATTTTTTCTTTGAATTTTCATGTTATAACATCAATTGAATCTTTTGAGGTTACTGGTACTGTTAGTCTGTAATATCAATTTGGGATGGATCAAGATAACATGAAAACATGGTACACTTTTTTATTTTATTGGTTTATCTACTATGCCTTTAAATGCTTAAAGTCTGCTATGCTAAATCACCTTTGAGGTAATTGACAAGGCAGTCACTGAGAATGTTCATCGAGTTTGGGTGGTGGATCATGAGGGTTTGCTCGTTAGGATTGTGTTTCTCACAGACCTTATTAAAGTTATAAGGCGTTCTCTGCTATCAAATTCAGATGATCAATGACAAGCACAATTTTGTACAAGGTGGACAAAAGAAAGAAATTGATGATGTAAACATCCTCACATCTGTTGAATAAAATTGGCTATGTCATACAAGTTGTTTACACTTTATACATAAATTAGAAAACATATTTGTCTGAGACAAAATAACTAAATTTTGTATGACAAACAAATTGCAGTACGGGTATAAACTAGGAACCTTCCATCAATATGATCTATATGATATATATATATATATATGTAACATAAAAAAGACCATCATCTTAGCCATCTTCTCCTGGGCGCAGTTGAAAATCGTCTTAAAACCTCAGTTCTTCTTGTTCTCCTATGTGTTGTCTCTGAGCCTAAAATAGCAATTGTGTCAACATTCCTACTTATGGGGAGGCCCAGAAGCTACGGCTGTGGAATTGGTTTAAACAACATCTCGAGCAAGACACACTGACAGATTTGTAGCAGCATCACTAAAAGCTGAATTTCTATTAACAACACGAGGATTTGACTGCCTGCTTCCTCCTGCCTGGTGACCATGCATATACGATTCAAGGTCCTCAACTAATCTTTCTGCATAATCCATTGCAGAATTTAATCCAAAGTGCAATTCAACTCCAACAAGAGAGAGCCACATTCCTAAAATAAAAACCATATGCAATGTCCTTGCTGCAGCAGCAATCACCTTGTTATGGTCTTTCTCAGCAAAGGAACTAGCTAGAATAGTCTGTGAGTCATAACATACTCATGATGTAAAATTTTAGGAAGATTTTTGTAACATCCCCGTATCGAGCCGGTTCAATTAACATACACATGATATAAACAGAAACAGCGGAAGACTTAACTTACGAAAATATGAGCTAACTTTTTCTTTTTCTAACTTAATTCTTACTCGGCGTAAACGAAAATCGGGCAGAGTTTCCTCTATAAATCGGACAACTGGGGATTTTCCAATCCCACTCAGAAGCGTTTCCTGATAAACAGTTTATACAGCATATTAATCCAGAAGTACCAATCATGCAAATATAATCAGATACCCATACATGGGCGCATGCAAAATATGGCTCCGTGCCACTATCCTAATCAGCATGCAATCCAATAAGAAATCATAAACTGAATAATACATCATCATATAACGTGCCTGAATACCCAAATGTACATGCATCAAAGTGACAGACATGTACAAAACATATACAGGCCACATACAAAATAAAGGATCAATATCATGATCCATCAAATGCGGAAATACTAAAAGACATCAAACACTCCAAAAAGGTAGTAGCCTACAGCCACTCAAAATCCGATCTGTAAACTGCCTCAGCCACGTGTCGTGTCCCTGCCTAGTGAGGACTCACCGGGAATCTAGGCACCTGAAAATATATCCCCAACGAGGGGTGAGATTACAAATCTCCATAAGCTCCAGGTTTATAGAGAATTCTCCATACCCCTGGCTCACTCCTGCACGAAAGTCAGATACAGAGTATACAAATACAACATATAGCAGATATCATAACAGAACAGAGCATATATCCATATCATATCAGAGGCGTGCGCCGTCATTCCCAAGGGAGGACCCCAAGCGGAAATCAACGCACGTGTTCCCGAGGGAGGACCCCAAAGCGGAACCAGACATAACAGAGGCGTGCACCATCAGTCCCGAGGGAGGACCCCAAAGCGGACGTCCGGGTACTATACAATCAATGGCCAGAGATTGTTACAGAAATCATATTACAGAAGTCATATCAGAGCAAAACATATCATGTTATCAAATAACTCTATATGAATGCATCTATACAAAGCATCTAAATCACAGTCATACAGTCCAACCATAGTTCACTAACCATGGTGGAACACTCAAGCAGGAAAAGACTCCTTAAACATAGAGCTTACCTCTTGAAGCTTTACCAATACCCTTACTTGTTGCACAAGTTACTTATATATCTTCAAGAGATTCTGATTCCTTTTTAGTCCCTAGGTACACCTAGAGCAAGAATCCACAAATACCAATTAATAAAATGCCATCATGCCTAGCTTTCACATAAGGCACACATTTTATCGCTTCTTTTCATTTCTTTGCATTTTTGTCAATCCTATGCCAATACACAAGTCTAGACCTCTTTATAACCGTTGGTGTTCTTTAATTTAATCATCCATTTCCTTACGAATTTCCAACATAAATCATAGCATTTTACTTTAAAGGACCGTGGGCCTAAAATTAGGAAATCAATATATTTTTCCATGATTTCT